TACCCCAGCCTCAAAGTGGCTATTGAATGTTTATTGGTAGCTGTATTTCTCAAACTCCCTTGCATCCAGGAGTCTGCATTTGTATTACAATCCACCAGTTAGATGTAAGGTGAGGGGTGTGTTTAACCTCTGACCTGGTGTTGATGGAAAAACTCTGACCATGATGCTCTCTCAAGCCCAGCTCTATGGGTTGTCTATCTTTCCTCCATTGGACACATCTTCTCTTAGGAGACAGCTTATTTATATAAGGGACATCTAGTTCATGTCTTGTCTTCTGAAATGCAATGTACCTTTGCTATATCCCACTGAATTAGAAATGAAGTGGGCAAGCTGACGGGGACTTCCAGGACAAATGGATCCCACCTAATATTATTTCCCGACGTATCTATGTCTTGGGAGTTATTGCAGCCCTTTTGATCTCTAGCCCCATCTGTCGTGGTTGGAATGGGAATGACCCCCATAGACTCTTGTATTTGAATGCTTTGCCCCCAGTTGCTAGAACCGTTTGGGAACCATTAGGAGGTGTAGGCTTGTTGGAGGAGGTGTGTCACAGGGGTGGGCTTTGAGGTTTCAAAAGCCCACTCTTTCTCAGTTAGTGCCCCCCCTTCTTTCAGCATCATCCTTGTGGGTCAGATATAAGCTTTCAGCTCCTCATCCAGCACCATGCCTGCCTGCCTGGCTTTCCTCCTGATGGTCATAGACTCTAACCCTCTGGAGGTGGGAGTCCCAAATTAAGTTCTTTCTCTTCAAGTTGCCTTGGTCATGGCATCTCTTCATAGCAATAGGATAGTAACTAAGCCACCATATCTCTTATTGGAAGGGTAGTTAGTGGAGATGGAGAAAGCAAGGGCAGGAATCTGTTTCTACCAGCATTTCCCAAACACAAGGCCTGCACACTTCAAGATGTGGCTAGATGTCGTATTTTATTAATTAAATTTATTCATTTATTTTGCAATACTTCTGAAGCTCCTCCTCCCTCTTCTCCTCACGTTCTCTCCCCCTAACTCCTTTCTGCCCCCCCATTCTCCTACTCCTTGATTTCTGTTCAGAAAGTGGCAGGCCTCCCATGGGTATCAACAAAGTATGGTATATCAGTGAGCTCCTCCCATTGTATTAAGGCTGGGCAAGGAAACCCAGGAGGAGGAAAAGGTTCCCAAAAGCGAATCAAAGCATTAGGGGCAGCCCTTGCTCCTGCTGCTAGGAATTGCTCAAGTAGGCCAAATGACACGATTGTCACGCATGGGCAGTGTTCCTAGGTCAGTCCCATGTAGACGTTCTGGCTGCCACTTTCTTTCAAAAGAAGCACTGTTCTCCAATTAATTTGAGGTAGGTTCAGAAAAAAAAAAGTTAAGTATGTTTTGCTGTTGTTGTTGAAAGAATATTTTATTAAATATTATCCATACAAGAGGGTGGGGCTAGGCAGGAACTAGAGTGCCACCGACAGCTAGATGTGCTCATTTACTACAATGTACCCCAAGGACTCCTATATACATGCGGATACCCAGTTCCCCATATTTGGAATTGGGTAAAAACCTCACCAATGCTCATTGTTACCAAAAAAGAAATCTGGGTCCAGAGAGATAAAATAACTCGCCTCACGTCGAACAAGTTATCAGCACCCTTGAATAATAAAGAGCTCTGAGGTTCTTCTGAACGCAGACTAGTGATTTTTAGAGATTTAGGACGGGCATCTGGGTGATGGGTTGAGTCTGACCCGTGCACACATATGTGTGAGAACATAACACTGTAGTACATTAATACATACAACTAATATATCTTAGTCAAAAGTAAAAATACACATCTTCTAAGGGGTTGGTAAAATATTATGAAGCAGGAAGGCAGGTAAGAAATCTGCAAGGGGAAACAGACAGAAGGTGAGAGAAACTAGAAACTCCAAGGAAGGCTGTGTGTTACGTACCTGTCAGTGACTGGAGGTGGGGGAACAGAAATGCTTCAGAGGGGAAATTTTGTTCCCCTCTGAAGAGATGGGAGTCCCTCAATGCCTTTTCCACGTGTGCCTGGAACACCATGGTGGTTTGACCTCTGTCAGTTACATGTTGTGTTTATAATGAACCAGACTCCAGCACTTTCTAAACAGTTAAGAGAGACTCTGTCTTCTGGGCTTTGCCCCATTAAATATCAATTCTTCTCCCTAGATGTGTTGTACAGATGTCCTGGCCTTCTGACTCAAATCTTCAGGGTGGGAACATGGTGTCCTTCCTTCTTTGGTCCCTGCCAGTGTTGGCACCTTGGGAAGTTGCTTGGGTTTGTCAAGGAGTTGGGAGGACTTTTCATCTGGGCGGTCATTCTCCCTACATGGAGCACTCAGAAAAGGGAAAGGAAAATACTGTCTTCAGCATTTACACCTTCGGCGGTCACATTTCTCTCAGCAGATCTCACTCCTGGTAGTCATTTTTCATCGTGTAGATGTGGGGAAAGTGTGAGGAAGGAAGGGAGGGAAGAGGGGAAGAAGAAAAATAGAAAGGAAGGAAAGAGAGAGAGACGTTGATCTGGTACAGATCAACCGTGTTACATGCACAAAGGCAGAAAGCCCACAGTCATTCTGAAACGATACTTCAGGCTGAACATAGCAAGCCTGTTAAAGCTGCCTGGGCATTCTGGGTCTATAACAGTGCAGATCCGGCCTTGCTGTTGTGCACAGGGCACCTGAGATTTCGGGTTATAGACTAGACTTCCAGCCACGGTCAGCAAGGCTGAAAGGATGTACCATTCCCCAGCCTCACGGTGCTTCCTTCTAGGATAGTCTTGAGATTATATTCAAATTCTTCTGGAACTGGGAAACGTGACACGTTATGAAGCATCGTATCCATGACTCTTTGAATGCAAATCCCCTTCAAACTGCTACCTCAAAGGTGGTTTAAGGACCACCTAAAGAATAAAGGAATACTATACTTCCTAGAGTCCTTTCTATGTGACTGGTCCTCAGGTAAAAATTCCCTATGTCATGTCCTGTCCAAGCTGACATCCTCATAGCTCTAGGTTCAGCAAGAAGTGAGAGTCTAACCTCTCATGCTCAAAAATATCCTAGGATGAATCTCACTGGATACTCTTCAACCACATCCTTATTCCCATGCCAACCTCTATGGCCAGGATCTACTCAGACATCTGGCTGCCAAGGCCTGGGTCACTTCATTTCTGGATCTAGAGACAAGAAAATGTTAGTAGCAATAGATGCTTGTCGCACATATAAAGCTACTCTCACACTCAGCTCATTGATTTTTTTTCTTTCATCCACTCTGCAGAGATAAATTAGGATGCACTTTGTAGAAACCTGATAGAATCCCAGTAAATGTCTACTTAGCTTTCATGCCAGAGCTCAGGATCCATCGTGCACTGATGGGTCCCTCATTGCTGTCTTCTCAGCAGTTAGTTCCTTCTCCTTGACGTCCCTCCTGTTGCCAAGAAATTGGCACACAACATTCCATCTATGTTGACATCTCCTCATCCTTCTCTCTCAATTTCTGTTAACTCCAGAGGACAGAAATCATTTCTTATTTACTTTTGGTCTCTCTAGGTATGAATAGCAGGCACAAAACCCTCAAAAGGAATTTTAAGGAAGAAATATAGGAACGATGAACTATTTATTTTATTTAAAAAAATCAATGCATTTGCTCCTAGTCCATGGGGGGGGGGGGGGGAGATTTGGCAAATTTCCAGGGGCATAAACCCACAAAGAAGTAGAACATAGTGAGAAGAATAAATCCATTGCTACAGAAAGGGTAGGAATTAGAGAGGAATATGTGCTCAGTCCTGGAAGAGAAACACCAAAGCATCTCTGAGGTCATACTTCTTTCATATTCACAGCTATCTCCTATGACTCCCACCCTCATACTCTCAGTTCTTGTGCCCTTGAACAGCATTAAATAAGTGTTCCTATTGTTTTATCATCCCGGATAATTATCCACAACACATAAGAGGCTGAAAAATATTTCTGAAAAGAATTTGTTACGTTTTCTTAACTACTAGCAGTATCAGTAGAGTGAGTGGACGTGACTTATTCTACTCTCAGGATTTTCCCAGATAATGCCCCATCCTGAAAGCTAAAATGTAATACTTTACTGGAGACAGTCACCTATGTCTGAATGTCTCTATCCCTATAGTCTGAATGAAAGTGGGGATTGTATTTGCTTTGAGGTAAAATGCAATAAATAATGCTTGCTGTCCTGACTAACGTGGAGTAGCTACGCTGGTGGAGTAGCTGAGCTAGTGGACAGATAACACTGCTGACCTAGGACCCAGGAGTCACAAGACTAAACATCATTGCTTCCAGTGTTTGTATTTGTGTTGAGTTTGATTCTAGGCAAAATGGAATCAAAGTCGCTCTCTGTCTCATCCTCCCTGCCGATCACTCTCCTCCTCTCCCTCCTCTCGTGTGCCTCCCTAGGTTTTACCTGCGCCGAGAATTCATGGTAGCTATGAAAATGCACCAGTGACATCCCGCGGCACCAGGGAGACCTTAATGGATCGAGAGCAGCAGCTTGCCTTGAGTCCACAGCATCCTGCTGCTGCTTTCCTAGGGCTGCTCTCACTAATCACGGAGCCCAAGAGGGAAGCTAAGGCAGGCCACCCCTGCAAGAAACTGAACAAGTGGGCTCTAGAACCTCTCCATCAGCCTAAGTGAGACCGTGTTGAAACCTGGATCTCTGCCTGGTTTCCTCCTCCTCTCTCCTCCGCAGGTCAGTCCTTCATTGCAGCTGACTTTCTTGTAGCCTCTTCTCATCCTTCCCCTGTTCTCACAGATTGTGTGTGTGTGTGTGTGTGTGTGTGTGTGTGTGTGTGTGTGTGTGTGTGTGTGTGTGTTTAACACATCTAGAAACTGTCTGACCTCATTTTAATCTCTGTTTCTTGGAGGACCAAGAATGTCTTGGAGTTTCTATTACTGTGATAAAACACCATGACCAAAAGCGACTTGAAAGGGTTTATTTTAGCTTTTAACTTTTAGGTAATACTCCATCACTGAGGGAAGTCAGGGCAGGAATTCAAGGCAGAAATCTGGAGGCAAAAACAGAAGCAGAGGCCATGGAAGAGTACTACTCACTGCCTTGCTCCTCCTAGATTCCCCACTTATACACATAAGACCTACTGCTTAGGGGTGACATCATCCACAATGGGGGGGCTGCCTACCCTCCTATATCAATCATTAATCAAGAAAATACCTCTTTGAGGTCAGCGTGGTTTACAAGAATTAGTTTCAGGACAGACTCCAAAGCTGCAGCAAAAACCCTGAATTGAAAAACCAAAAAGAAAAAAGGAAATATATCTCACAGACTTGCCTAGAGGTCATGCTGGTGGGGGAATTTGTCATTGAGGTTCTCACTTCTCAGATTACACTAGCACGTGTAAGACTGACAAACAAACAAACAACAACCAAGACCAAACAAAATATGAACCAGGACAAGGAGCAATGCCATTTAAACCCCACATGGGAAGCATACAGGTGAGAGACTTCTCTAACCCCAGCGATAGGTAGGGATTTTCCTCTTTGGGATGAGGGAAAGAGTTATAACCAGTGAATGGAGAAAAGACGCCTTGGAGCAGGAGGGTTTGGACTTTCCAAGGTCATGACAAAGATCCAAGATTCTCACAGAACCATTTTACATCCCATCTTTCTCAGTCCTTCAAGATCAGTTGCATGATCTGTTGGACTTGTTTCCTGAGCTATATTTCAAACTGCTCCATGTTTTGTTTTGCTTCATTTCCAAATGGAGTTACTTTGAAGATTCTTTTTGGCCTGATTTTACATGGAAATAATGAGAAGAGAAAACCCCAGAAAGACTCTCAGTACCGTTTCACTGAGTTCTGCCCTCCATCTCACAAGCAGCTTGACCAGGCAGCCACGTACCTGGTGGGAGTCCTTGCACACTATAATTCTTTCCGTGTCTGCTCAACATTTAAGTAGAAATGGAAAAATCATAAAATTATATGTTTTATGCTCAAAATAAAGATTTATTTCCCCTGAACATATTAGATGTGACTTTTTTGAACAGGAAAATTTCTTGAGAGGCATATCAAAATATTTTAATGCAGACACTCCACTAAATCACTTCCAATAAAGAGCAGACAGCAATGTGAATTTTTCAGTTGCAGGGTAGCTTGTAACCGGGAACCCTCGATGGGCCAGTCTGGGAGTTAGTGGTCAGGTCATATATACACCAGGTTAACTGCATATATTTAACACAAAAATTCCAGCAGACGTAGGCTGGCAGCAGGATCGAGAGTCTTACTGAAGCCAAGCGTATTTAGGCTCACTGGTTTTGCCAGCATGTACAGAGCTAAATTGGCTCCCTACTCTAATTTTAGCCCGTGACATTTTAGTTTCCTCTCCATCTTGGTAGTCTATATAACCCTCAGTGGCTTGTCTATTAATCTGATCTGCGTCGTCATTAGCCTGTGGTGTGGAATGAGCATAGTCCATTCACGTGATGTCCTTCAGTCAGTTTGGACGCCAGCTGGTTGGAGGAAAAGCTAGAGATGAAAGTGCCCAGAGGAGACAAACGAGGGGGAGTAGCGTTGATCGATGCACCAGAGAAACTGAAGGAACCTATAGACAGAAACCACCTGCTGGGCTGGAAGAGCCAGGAAGGCCAGTGAAAGGAACACCTACCTTCCCAGGTTGGGTGTCTGACTTACCCAGGGAGAACTTCACCAGAGGAGGAATCCATCAAGTGAAAGAGGCTGTCTGGACGACCATGGGTAGAAGACAGATGTGTTCAATTAGGGACCACTTCCAGGGAAGCAGATCCTTATAAGCAATTGCCTCCAAGTAGGGATGTAGTTAGTGGTGGCACACGCCTTTAATCCTATCACTAGGGAGGCAGAGGCAGATGGACCTCTGTTCCAGGACAGCTAAGGGCACACAGAAAAACCCTATCTTGAAAGGAAGGAAAAAAGGAAGAAATAAAGGAAGGTAGAAAGGAAGGAAGGAAGGAAGGAAGGAAGGAAGGAAGGAAGGAAGGAAGGAAGGAAGGAAGAGACGTATTATGCAATATGGTTGTGTTCCATTGTATATCTATTACTTCCACAGGTCACCTGTCTGTCTTCCTTTATATCTAACTCTCTATTAATGCATACGAAACAATACACAAATTGAGCAACTTAAAACTTTTAATATGTCACATGATTCTTAGGTTGGCTTTTCTGAGTGTCCATCCTCTCTTGGATTTCCTTTGTGTGGTTGTAGTCAGTGCTCTTGGCTGCAACCATCTTATACTTGACGATCTTAGATGTGTTATAGTTATTGTTGGCTGCTGCTATGGGGCTCAGCTGAGGATGTCTCCTGGAACCTATATATGTGTCCTCTTCATATGCAAAACATGACAGCCAGCTTCAGAGACAGGAGAGCCCTCTGTAGCCCAGCCTCAGAAATCCCAGGTTTGGGGCTGGAAATGAACTTCGGCGGAAGAACAGTTGCCCAGTCTTGCAAGGCTTAATTTGATTCCTACTTCTGCCAAAACCAAACCAACCCCAACTTCCCCAAACAAACAAACCAACCAATTAAGTGAAAACAAAGCCTATAGAGAAATCCCATCTTTTGGATAATTAAGGCAAAATCTCTGAAGTCAGCCCGACCTCAAAGGGAGGAAAGCCTGATTCCTCCCACTAACACAAGGAGTTACATATAGGTCTATGGGGAAGGCAGCGGGGGCGGGTGTTGGTGGATGACATTTTTGACTCCTCACCACTTCCCACATTTGGGTGACACCCTTTGTACCTCTAACTGCTTCCCAGACAAAAGCAGCCTAGTGCAGAGCTATATCAAGTTGGTGATGGGCATAAAAGGTAACATTCAAGAGTCTGAACACTTAGACACAGGAAGACCTACCTGACTTGGAGTGTGGACTTCCCCACTTAACTGCCCTGGATCTCAGAAAAGTTGCTTCATCTGTCTGAGTATTAGCTTGAGTATTTATAAAAGAGCAGTGGCGTGTGTGTGTGTGTGTGTGTGTGTGTTGCAATTTTAATGTTGCCAGTCACTTGGTAACAGAAATGGAAAAGAACTGTTCTTTGCTTCTCCAGCATCCTTTGCTTAACCTAGCCGGCCATTGAGAGGCATTCAAGGTGTAGATTGCCACAAGGGAGCTAATGTTTAATGAAAAGGTCCTATGGACCACAGTCAGAAAAAGGAGTCAGGCTCTAGCACAAGGCATTGCCAGCATAGCTTTTAGGGGACTTAGAGAAGGAAGAACTCTGTCCTGGAGAAGAAAAACGAAGGGTGTAATCCAGACCGGGGATACCGACATAGCACTGAGTATGATTCAGAAAGCCCTCTGCCTCCGGCTCAAGCACCTTTTCTTTCCTGAGGTTTAGTTATTCAACAACAAGGGGTGAGTGTGATTTCAAGGCTGCCAGCTTCTTTGTAGTCTTTCTCAAATGACATCATCTTAGAAACCCCTGAATCAGCCCAAGTCTTTAACTGCCACAGCTCTCTGGCTTAGGCTACGGTTCGTGATGGTTCTCTCCATTCTGCGGAAGACTTTGCAAGGCCCCTGCTCTTAAGCCTTGGTTCTCTACAGAGCATCAGAACCAAGGTCTGTTTTGTAACACAAATGTGGTCAATGGCTCCCGGGCATGATAGTGTTTTCTGCTGGTGTTTCTTCACTTACCACGTCTACCCACTCTCGCTGCTTGGGAAGAAGAGTTACTGAGCTTAACGGAATCCTCTGGTTTTCTGACTTCTCTTTGGGTTCAGCCAATCAAAAGACTCGGCGGGAAACAGGAGGCTGTGGGTGGTGAGAACATGAGCTATTTGTTCTTTGTTGAATGAGCATTGTGGTTGTCACTGGTTGTGATTTCCCAAGACCGTGGCTACTTTACCACCCCCCCCCAACTCCAACTCTCCCTTTGCTCTCTGGCTTCTCCAGGTTAAGGGGTGATAGTGGCTTAGCAGGGTTCTTTATGTGGGTGCCTCCACATCCTTCCCTAGTCCCTTTATTCTCATTCTCATATCAATGAAAATAATTTCTTTATCCAAAGCATGAAGAATAGTGGGAGGAAGGGACAGAGAGGTGGCTCAACAGCTCAGAGCACATACCATTCTTGCAAAGAACCCAAGTTCAGTTCCCAGTACCCACATCAGGAAGCTTACAACTTCTTGTAACTCCAACTCTGGAGGAATACAACATCTCTGGCCTCCATAGGCATCTGCACTTGTGTGTGTGTGTTTGTGTGCGTGTGTGTAATTATACACATAATTAAAATTTAAGTTAAATAAAGGGTAGGTGTGGTGGTTTGAAAGAAAATGGCCCCCAAAGGGAGCGTCACTATTAGGAGGTGTGGCTTTCATGGAATAAGTATGTCCTTGTTTGAGGAAGTGTGTTGCTGTGGTGGACTATACCTCTGAAAACGTTAGCCACTCCAATGAAATGTTTCTCGTTTATAAGAGTTGCAGTGGTCATGGTGTCTCTTCACAGCAATAGAAACCTTAACTAAGACAATAGGGGACCCAGATGATGGCTCGGCGATTGAGAGCACTTGCTGTGGTGGAGTTTGGTTCCTAGCCTGGCCCATGTCAGGCAGCTTACAATGCCTGTAACTCCAGCTCCTGGAATCTAGCCCTTCTTCTGGCCTTTATGGGTAACTACATTCATATATGCCTATCCACTCATAGACACACATAATTAAAACTAAAACATGTATTTTCATTTTAAAAATATTTTAGTGTAAGGAACCCAGAAGTTTCCTTCTAAGGTCCCAACCGCTGCAGCCTTTAGGGGTTTCTTAGAGGTTTCATGGTGGAAACCAGGTTCCTCTTTTCCAGCCACCAGAGCTGTTAGATGACAACCAGCTCAATACCCTCTCCAGCCTCATTCTGCCTGTGAGTATCCAGCACCTCACCAGGCACCCTGGCCTCCCTTCTCTTCTCCCAGTACAGGGAGCTCCTTTCCACCTCCCAGTCTTTGCATTTGCCTTCCTGTATTCTGGAAGACCTCCTCCTAAGTCCCAGCCTTCCCCTGCTGAGCAAACCCACTGTGTCTTTATCTAAAGGCTGCTTGGGGAAGTCTTTTTGATTCACGAGATTAGATATTTCATTAGTTCCTTAGCTAGCTCTTCACATCCCAGCCCACAGCCAAAGTAGTTATAGATGATCCCTGGGTTTATCAAAAGGTGACCATCAGGAAGTCAAAGAAACACGCAATGAACTATCCTACCCAACACTGTAACCTACCTAATCCATCTTCAATGTGCTCAGAACACTGTAACCTGCTTGATCCATCTTCCAAGTGCTTGGAACATTTACATTAGCAAGAAGGTCATGCAATTAATCGTCCATTTTATGTTAAAGCTTTGAACTCCTCGTGTGAATGTGGTAGCAAAAGCAGAACAAAAAAAAATAGAATTGCTCTGTGACATTATCCCAAGAAAAGACCAAAATTCATAACCTAAAGACAGTTTTTTCTCAACGTGCATCATTTTTACACCGTTGTAAAGTCGGAAAGCTGTGAGTAAACCCACTTAAGTCAGGGGCATGTGCATCTGATCACCCTGTCTCCTACTAGACTCCAGAATCAAGGGAGCAGACACAAGTCGATTTTGTCTCATTTTTTATATCCTCAGTGTATTCGTGGCATCCTAGTACACTGTAGGCCATTGCTAGAGAATTTTTGAGTAATAAATATATTCCAAAATCCCCAATAAACAGAGCTCCAAAACATATGTTTTCAATAAATATATCTTCAACAAATCTATGAAGACATATATACAATCCTCAACAAAATGTAAGACTATATTTTCAATAAATATGATTTATAAGCCCATGCTTCATTTCTGGAGGTCAAAGAACAGGTCAGTGTTTCTAAGACCATGTTTTAAAAACAGAGGCTGTGATGAGGGCTTGACTCATCAGATTTTATACAACTTAATTCGTCCCCTGCACCTTCAGTTCCTTTTGGATATTTTTAGAATTTCTGTATCCAAACAAAACTCTGGGAGGAAAATTTATACTCCCACCACCACCACGTGTGTGGTGTGCAGTGAAGCAGAAAAGCAATCAGACATACCCTCGACGGAGGAGAAAACGGCAGAATGAGCGTCCCTGGGCAAAGCATCCTGAGGGAGCCAGCCCATCAACTGCTTGCCTTGGAAACGACTGTTTTATATTTGTGGTAGGCCAGCAACAACAAAGAGTCTACAGCCTCTAATCTAGTGCAAAGGACTTAGGAAAATATTCTTAATAGATAATTCAGCTGAGTGTCTCAGGGCCTTAGAAAGCCCAGCAGGGGAGCCTCAGAATTGGTTTCCTTTGATCTGACAAATCCACCCAGATCAGCGGGATCTCATACCATTTCTCTGCACAAATTTCATAGTCTCACACTCAGGGAGACCCTACCAAAGAGTCCCCAAACTGTGAGGACAAAAGCTCCACCAAATATTTAGCCATCAGCATCTCCACTGACTTCTTGGGAAATAACCCCTAAGCCTTTGGTTGCTCCAAGCTATGGGAAATGAAGGACGAGCTCCAAAAATATCACTTCCTACTTTCCTGCCTGCCTAATTTGATGGGTGTAACATGGCAAAAGAAAAATATCGTTTTCCACGTTCCATTCTGGAAAAGCCATACCCGTCTGTGGGGACACGGAACTGGCATGGTGGCTACAGTCAGGGGTGGTATCAGCCTGACAGGGTCTGTGAGGGCTTAGATTTTCTAAGGGGTTAGATGGAAGAAAGGGAAGTGGATTCAAGGGAAAACAACGTTCTCTGCAGAACTGTCACATAAGAGAGAAGACCCCAGTAATCTAGCCCAACAGAGGTCAAGAGGAAAGAGGTACAATAGAACACCATGCTCTTTCTAGACCGACAGTGCCCTTCCGGCCTCTCTCTGTGAGCCTGGGCATTCCTGCTGCCTAGAAATGCCCACTGGAAGCCAGGACTCAGTCTCACATGGGTTAGTCTTCTGGACACGTTGATCACTCCCGAACGACACGTTCTTCAAGGCCTGCCTGTGTTTCAGGCCCTTTGTCTCTCTTGAACCTGATGAAGACAATTCTTCTGCAAGAAAACACAGACCATTTGAGTTGTCAGTGGATGTTGACTGGAAGGAATTCCTGCTTTTGAGCACAAGTCATACCTAGTACGACTGCTTCACTACCCTTGCTCTTGCGTTCACTGTCCTGTCCCATGTCACCCTCTTTCTCCTTTAGTTAAGAACTTAAGAACTCAGGATCAAGGAATTAAAGGTAGAAGGTATTCTTTGAAGAAGACTTTTTATTTTTGTTCTTTTGTGTATGTGTGATTTGTTGCTGATGCTGCTGTTGCTGTTGCTTATTGTGGGATATCGATCTGTACACTGTGAGAAGATATATTGTTGTGATTGGTGTTTTAAAAAGCTGAACAGCCAATAACTAGGCAGGAGAGATAGGCAGGATTTCCGGGGAGAGAAAGGAAGAGGAGGAGTCACCAGGAGACGCAGAGAGGAAACAAGGAGGGGGCAAAATGGAAGAGAAGTAACTCCACATAATAGAACGTAGATTAATATAAAGTTTTAAGAGCTAGTTAGGAATAAGCCTAAGTTATAGGCTAATAATTAATTAACAATTAATTATTCATAATTAATAAGACATCTCTGTACCATTATTTGGGAGCTGGCTAGTGGGGCAGAAAAGATTCTTTAGAGTCGCTGTTGTTGCTGCTATTGCTATGTGGGAGAAGGTCTTGCTATGTAGCCCTGGCAGGCCTGGAACTTGTTTTTGTAGACCAGACTGAACTCTAAGACTCACAGAGATCTGTCTGCCTCTGCCTCCCAAATGCTGGAATCAAATCGTGCACCACTGTGATGTCTGTTCTTGGTTGTCATTGACTATATCTGGAATGAACTATAATCCAGAAATGGATGGCACACTTGTGATCCAGAGCTTGAGGCTGGAAGGCACATCTTTAATCTGAGCCAGACCTTCTGCTGGAAGTCTGTCTAAGGACAAAGGAAGAAGGAATGGGGTGTATTTGTTCTTTGCCTGCTTACCCTCACTTTGTCAGAACATCTGTTTCTTCACTGGCAATGAAACCTACTTCTTTGGGATTCCAACATACACAGGAGACCAACTAAGACACCCAGCCCATGGGACTGAGCAGCTACTAGATTCTTGGACTTTCCATTCACAACTAGCCATTATTAGACTACATGCAGTCTGTAAGTCATTCCATTAATGAGAGAGAGAGACAGAGATTTATTCCATAAGTTTGTGACTCTAGAAAATCCTCACTAATACAACCACCATGCCCGACCCACTTAGGAAGGTATTTGGGTATTTGACTGTTCAGAAATTTGCTGGTCTTAAAGATAAAATGTGAATAACAGTAATGGCTACTTCACAGAATATGAAGCATCACTGTCAGCTGTGAGGTGTATCACTGATGTTCACACAGCAAATGGTCAGCACACTCTCTGTTAGCTGGAACTGGGGCAGAGGTCATGGAGGCATGGAGGGGTGCTGCTTACTGGCTTGTTCCTTGTGGCTTGCTCAACCTGCTTTCTTATACACCCCAGGACCACCAGCCCAGGGTTGGCACCAGACAATGGGTCAGACTCTCCTTCGTCAGTCACCAATTAAGAAAATCCCACACAGGCATGACTAAAGGCCAATAATAAAGGAATTTTCTTAATTGAGATTCCCTCTTGCCAAATCATTTTAGCTTGTGTCAAGTTGCAAAACAACAACAACAACAACAACAAACAAGCCAGCACAAAGGGAGGGCTTAGAACTGTGCCCGCAGGCCCAGTGGAGAATTCTTCATTACAGAGCTCTGGCACCCAAGTCTGAGAATCACAGCTAAGAGGAGCGTTCCTAGTGATAGAAATCGGGACTCAAAGTGACGACACGTTTATATCAGAGGAAGGTGGGAGGGCAAAATAGTAAGTGGCAAAGCTTTTTCTCTAGTTTCATCTACAGAGAGAATGAAGTGGTGAGGGAAGAAGATCTTTGCCTAAGGTTACAAGAGCATTTGTCTGAGCATCTCCAATGCCTCTTAAGGTAACAACCAGGAGGCAGCAAGAAGTCTCATGGTGTGGGCATGAAGATTAAAAAGGTCTGTGTTTATTGAAGGGTTAATTAAAGGAAAGCAGGTGTGTGGGAGGTAACAGTGAGTAAGGAATTCTTATGAAGATGACTGTGGATGTTCTCGGAGACAGTGCTAAGGAATTGGATTCCACCCTGCAGGTGGTGAATAACCACTGAGGCCCAGGATATTGATTTTATATTAAATAAAAGAGTTGGTGAAGACACTAGGGGTTCAGTGTGCTGATCTGAGAGGAGAACAAAAACAACAGTAAACCATAGCAACATCATACATACGGTGTCCTAGTACCACTATCTCCCTCCTCCTCCCTCCCCCAGTTTCTGTGATATTCCTTCAAAACGAAACTTTCACACTGGGCCAGAAACTGAGTCTCATGCTTTCATTGCTGGTGAGTTTTCTGTGTCAAATAAAAAGCTGCCCCTTCAGTGGTCCTGAATCCAGGCACCGTCTACAGAACGTAAACGCTTAGAAGAAATCTTTCTCCAGGCTGCTAATGAGCGGCTGCCCCTGTTGTGAATTCCCCATTTCTGAGGCATCCAGCAGGTTTTTTTTCCCCCTCACATTGATGATATGGGGGGGGGGGGGGGAGACAGTTTCCAAAAATCTAGGGTGGCCAGTGCCTGCTTGGATCCTGTTGGCAGTCAGGAGTTCCAGAGATAAAAGTTAGGGAGCTGCAAATGCAGGGTCTTCATGGATTCCAGAAGAGCGCGGAAAGACCACTTGACCCCATGCAACACACGACACCCTGTCGCGGAGCAGAGAAACAATAAAGAACAAAGCCACCGGAAAACACACTCCAGATATCTGGACCACGGAAGGATTTTACCAGAACTCTACAAAATGGCGGGGGGTGGGATTAACACTTACAATTCACAGCGTTGACAAAGACTACATCAAGTATCCAACTTCCTCATAAATCCGGGAAAGAAAGATCAAGTCTCAGGAGCAGACAAGGTAATTCACAGAAGAAACTCAAAAAGCCAACAACCGTGAAAAAAACTTATCCTCACTCAACCTATGACTGGAAGCGAAATAAGAGAACAGGAGTGGGCGATATTGTACTTGCTTGCAATCCCAGCATTTGGGAAGTCTGAGATAGGAAGGTGGCTACAAGAAGGTCACAGTCAGCGTGGCCTATGTGGTGTGATGGAGGTTGTCAACTCAGCAGAACTGGGATTCACCTAGAGGTGAGGCTTTAGGTGTGCCCTTGAGAGTGTTAATTGAAGTGAGAAGATCTGCCTGCTAAGGAGCCGTTATTCCCTGGCAGGAATCCTGGGCTATAGCAGCTAAGCAAGAGAGCTGAGCGGTAGCGGCCTGCATTCATCCACATCTGTTTCGTGATTGGGGGTGTGATACCAACTGCTTCAAGACTTCACTGCCTGTTGCCTTTTCTCCCCTGCCGTGGGAGACTGTGTCCTCGAACCGTGGGCAGAAATCAGCCCTTTCTCCCTGGAGTTCCTTTGGTCAGTGTATTTTATCTCAGCCACAGGAAGCGAAGCTAGAACATGGGGACAACCCATCTCAAAATGAAAAAAAAGTCACAATGGAAAGATGTTGCGTCTTCGTACATCAGAACATTTTGAAGGTCAAGAAAAGTTGAGTATTGACATAAGTTCTTACGAGACAATGTAACGGTCTCTATCAACACCATAGTGCTCTCAAACAGCACAGCTCCCTAGGACAACGCGTTTCCAAGGCTTAATAGAAAGTAAAGATGCCCACACTGTGCGGTTGCACAGTTCAACAATGAAAACACAGCCTGGGCACATGTTCACAGGTGTGTGCAAGGAGTCAGCACGTAGCTAAAGTGCAACAGTGAAAGCTACAAACAAAACTTATGTTCATCATTAGAAGAGTTAGAAAAGGACTATCTATTTTATTTACTGTTATTATCATGATTATGATTATTATTAATAGGTTTTTGAGACAGGGTTTCTTTGGTAGCCTTGACAATCTTAGAACTAGTTCCGTAGATCAGGCTGGCCTTAAATTCTCTGGGATCCACCAGCCTCTTCCTCCTGAGTGCTGGGGTTAAAAATGCTTGCCACCACAAGCCTGTCAAAAGGACTCTTAAAAATGGGGAAATACAAAATACTTAAAGTGAATGAGTAGACTCTACTTATTAGCGTTTACACTATGTTTACGTAGAAAAAGTTATAAAACACAGTATTCTGCCACTGATAAAAATCTTGAGCTACAGAGCAACGCCACATGATGTTTTTAGGCAGATCCATAAATAGTAAACATATAAATGTATAGATAGGCAACCGATGAGTCATCTTCTTCCTGATCTAACTTCTGGGGAGGAAGGTTGGGAAATGAGACTAGTAAGAACAGAAAAGAGACATTAACCGAATGCCCTGTAGCTCAGAGCAGTCTGAAAATTCCAGCGAGAAATTAAATCCCCAGCTTGTGCTTGGGGGAGTTCGAGAACAAATTTATAGCACTTGCATGGCATAGAAATCTCCAACTGCGAAAGTGGTGTTTAAAGATAAAACAGCTCCCGAGGCTGATGAATCTATGGAGGCACTCTGCAGACCAACAGTCACGGGGTGGAGGGCGTGCACTAACACTCACAAGGCCATCCTACTGATGACCAGCTCTCCACCAAAATGTACAGAATGCGTAAGAAAGTCGGCCACCGTGAGCAGGAGGTCGGCAGAGATGACTCACTGGGGAACTAAGGAAGATCTGGTATTCTGGATCATTCCTAAAGAAAATCTTTAAATAATCAAGGAGTTCCTATTTGAAATGCTGGAACCTTCGCACTATTAGCTCAATGACCCTTCTGTGTTGCTAATGATCAATGATTGTTGTGTGCTTGCCCTCACCTTTTCTGAATGGAAGCATTCATTGATAGGGTCTTGTTTCTACCTACCGGTGTGGTGAGCAGAGGGGCAGGCCTCTGTGTTTGCAGGAAGAAGCAGAGAGCTTTTGTTTTTTTGTGGAACTCAAGGCAGGGAGGCGCCACGACAGGATCTGATGGAGTTGGAACCGGAGTCAACGTTGAATGGATGTCCAGGTTGTGTCCCTTGGGGGAGAGAGAGAGCTTGAATGTGGGCTATAAATGGGAAGGAGGGGACAAAAGGACTTTTGATTACCAGTGTCCTTGCATTCCCTCACTCTTCTGGCCAGTGAGATTAGCCAGGACCATGTGACTATTTCTGGACAGTGGACAGGGCAGGGCGTGATCCCCATCACTACTGGGCTGAAGCTTAGAAGAAAAGTTTAAGGATCGGCTTTCCCTTTTTATCCCTCAGGGACATTGGCAGCTACATCTCGGGGTGATAGTTCAGCCACTAGATGGAAACAGCTGGATTGCAGAATCTCTGCCTGGAAAACAACTGCAGACTTTGCATGAGAGAAAAATGAACTTTAACATGCTAAACCAAAATGAATATTGTGTGTGACTTTTTGCATAGAGAGAGAGGGAGAGGGAAAGAGAGAAAGAGAGAGACATACAGAGACAGAGAGGCACAGAGACAGATGAAGACAGACAGACAATAATAACGCTCCTTAAAAATAAGTCCACACTGAAGAATTAAAACCATGTGCTGTGAGAAGAACAACACACTCAGAAATAGTAGCTTAGGATCCTGAAATCATGGAAGTAGATACTGACCCTACGTTTAAAAGAATATTTAAGTGCCAGATGCACAGTGTAGCTTTTGAGAATTACAAAGAAAACTATCGTTAAAAAAAATTAATAGGTCCTTGACAAGATAGCATTTCACGCAGAAACGCTAGTGGAACACACGTGTACTTGTCTTTTGTGAAAGTCTGAAATGCAAATGAAGTAACACGTATTTCCAAAAGTATTAATTTCTTATGCACTATACTCGTGGGAGGAAATTGAATTTTGATTCATATTTAACATTGTTTAAAAATTGTATGATAGAAATATAAAAATTAAAATTGTAGAGGAAAACACAGAAGACCACCTTGAGGATATAAAGCAGGAGGAAATACTTGCACTACATATATTTAGACAAAAATTAACATTCTCCATACCTAATGAACCCAAACCAGGTAACAAGAAAAATACAGAGATAGATACAGAGATAGAGATGCTCTCTCTCTCTCTCTCTCTCTCTCTCTCTCTCTCTCTCTCTCACACACACACACACACACACACACACACACACACACGCACACATATGTACGTGCACACACATTGAGGGAGAGGACACAGAAGATCTAAATACCCACTTCTTAAAAGAAACTTTCTCAAGATAATAAGTTGTTATCATTCCTTAGAGAAATATAAATTAAAATGTCATTTCAGTACCAGAAAGATACCACTGCAATTAAAAAAAAATAAGGTAAAATAAGCCTTAGCAGAAATGTCAAGACACTGGACTGTCCTGTGCTGATGCATGGGTTGGAATTAGAAGAACCACTTGAGAAAACTGTTACACAGGGAAATCAAACTGAGCATGAAGTTACTCTCAAAAGACGTCTTAATATCAGAATTGTTGACCGTGCTAGGTGATGTGGGGGAAAGGATTAGGTTGTAGGTGGAACTGGGGCTGATGACCTTTGATGAAATTAAATTTGAGAGATTGTCCTGCTGCATGATCTGTGTGGGTCCAACAGGATGACAAGTGTCCTGAGAAGTGGGAAGATGGATCAGAACCGAAAAGTAAGAGTGAGAAAATTTGAGCCAATGTTGCTAGAGGGTGGGGGCACAAACCAAGGGAAGCAGCACTGGGGCAGGAAAGACAAGGACAAAGACTCTCCAAGAACCTCCAGACAGCACAGCCCTGCTTACACCTTAGCCTTAGCGCAAGGAAACTCACGCAGGAACTCCAGTCTATACAACTGGGATACATTAAATTTGTGTTGGTTTAAACTACTCTCTGTGTGGCAATTTGACACAGCGGCAATAGAGAATTAATATATCCCTTGACTCAGCATTTATACTCTCAGATATATGTCCAACTGGAAATCAGAGACACATGCTCCAAAAGACAGGAACAGAATGCACATACAGTGCTTTGTACAGGAAAGCCCTGATTTCCATACATGTACAATAAGTAATTTGTATCCTTTTAGCATAAAGAAACACTAAGCCAGCCAGTTAGCCATACTGAGGAATTTACATACAACAGTATTGTGTCTCTTATAAAGAGAAGGTTGGAAAAAAGACTTTCAGGTTAAATTTTTATTTATGAACTGGGGATGTTGCTCATTGGCTCACTGATAGGGCTCTTGCTTAGCACTGATCCCCAGTACTGAAACAAAAAACAAATAATAGAAAGCAGGGAGAAAAGAAAGAAAGAAAGAAGGGAGGGAGGGGAAGGGAGAAAGAAAGAGAAGATAGAGATAGATGATAGCTAGATGGTGGATGGATGGATGGTTAGATAGATAGATAGATAGATAGATAGATAGATAGATAGATAGATAGATAGGTAGGTAGGTAGATAGATAGATAGATAGATAGATAGATAGATAGATAGATAGATAGATAG